GGTCAAAAATCACATGTCTACAGGACTAAATCACATATTCTTAAAACCACAATATAAGTTTAATTGTTACTCGGATTTTAGGGTAAACACTAATTCAATGTTCTTTTGCTTGGCTTTGTCTGAGACAGATTTTAGCAGTATTTTCATACATTGGTCGTGTCAACGCAAAAAGAGAAAAACGGTTTAATGTTATTGGAGCAAATTCAAGCTTATTTCACGAGGAGGCATCTGTCCTCGTAGTTTTTAGTATTATATTTATTGTTATTGTTATCTTTTTACTTTTTAAGGCGGCTTGGTATTGGATTAGTCGCCATGCCGCTCTAAAACCTATTAGATGATTCATTAATTTATTCTATCGTGTACAATATTTAGTACATGAAGGCATAAACTTCACAGATGGTATGTGTCACGTCTGTTTAGGGGAGTTTGAAAATACTATTTATGTACGAGTTCTTCGTTGTAATCATATATTTCATCATAAGTGTATAGTTAAATGGATGGCTATAAACATGACATGTCCAGATTGTCGTCATGATTATAGCCATCTTGTACGATTAAGATCAAGATGCTTGGATCACTAGAATAGCATGCCTTATTGTAAAATTTTACACATTTTATAATTGTGTCAATGTAGAAAGCGAAAAATGGCTGAATAGTTTTGGAGCAAATCTAATCTTACTTGTCGAGGAGACGGTACTCGTAGTTCTTATAGTTATTTTTATTACTATTGTTATTGTTTTACTTTATAAAGCAGCTCGGTATTAGATTAGTCGCGAACTCGCGATGCCGCTCTAAGACCTATTAGACAAGTAATTAGGTTATTCCCTCGTGTACAATATTCAGTACAAGAGGGCATAAACTTCACAGATGGTGTGTGTCACATCTTTTTATGTGAGTTTGTAAAGACTATGTACGTACGGGTTCTTCCTTGTAATCATATATTTCACCATAAGTGTATATTTAAATGGATGACTATAAACATAATGTTCAAATTGTAGCCACCGGCTATAAACATGACATTGTCGTCATGATTATAGTCATCTTGTAGTTTAAGAGATTTGTACTTATTACCTCTAATAGTTTTTGTCAAATTAATCATTGTGTTTATTTACAAAGTGAAAAACTCAAGAATCAAGTAAGTAGTTAAAAAAATGTAATGATCATTCGTGCAATTTTAATTTCGTGCACTTTTTTTTCCAAATATTATAAAATTCGTGCTTTTCGTGCAACTTTTTTTTAAATGTGCACGTTTTATGCACATCTCAAAAAAAACTAGATGAAACTGCAGATCCTTATAAATTAAGTATTGATTTTGTTCGTGAAATAATGTGGGAAAATGTAGGGAAGATAAGGAAGAGCACATAAAATACTTATCGAGATGCGTAACTTGATACTCTTATTTCAGCAACGTTGGGCAAGCTCGATTACTTCCTTGGTTGAGAATGTCGGATAACGGAGTTGGCGCTTGTGACGGATAAAAATTTACTCGTATTGGATGTTTACACTAGATTAATTGATGCATGATATTTGTTTGGTCATACGCTTTTTTCAATAAACCATAATTAATTATTGCATATTTTGACCTCATTAAATCACTGAATGGTAGTAAGTTAATATGGGCTGATGTAAGTATCTAGTGCGAATAAATTTTTACCGTGTGTGCTTAAGTGATATCTAAATCATTTTGAATTTCTCCATAGGCTTAATCAGAGCACGACTAAATGGTTCAACCACATGGTTACATTATTGAATCCCTATTACTTTCTGAATGAGTTTTACGGCCTCTAAAGAATAACAGCTTCAAATTTCTGAAAACGGTCATATTAACTATTTCCTCCGTTTTAATTTAGATGAGATAATTTGATTCGAAACGAATTTTAAGAAAAAAAGAAGATTTTTGAAACTTGTGGTGTGAAAAACTTAAGGGGTAAAAATTTTGTGGGACCGTGACATGTGTGTGGTTATAAAAGCTTTTCATTAATAGTAAAATGGATAAAATAAAGCGTTTAAAGTTGAATTATTTCTAATTGTAAAAATATGTCAGCTTTTTGGGAAAGGACTAATAAGAAAAGTATGTCATCTAATTTGAAACAGAGGGAGTAGTTAACTAAGTTTGGTAAGTACAATTGGAATCAGGAATCAAAACAGTTTAATAATAAATTCTGGAAACAAAGTTTTAAGTTCAAAGAATATTCACCAAAATGAGTTGGGGACTCATCAAGAATGTTACTTAAGTACTAAATTATCTTTCTTAAACCACTCATTTTCTTCATTAATTTCCCCCTTTTCTTTACTTAGTTCATCACAGTAAATGCTAATTAATTCAACTTGCATGAGAGATGCATATATTGTTAAGTGATAAATGTGTGTATGAAAAACATATCTTACATTCATTTATTTGGTACAATATGGAGTCATTTTTGTTTTGGTTTTCCATTCAATGTTTGATACATGCTTTGATACCCGATTAATTCATTTTGCTCCAAGAAGTCCAACTTTGGAAGGATAAAGCGCTACGTACCAATGACGATATCATTCTCAAGATTTGAACTCGAAATTTTTTACAAACCGAACTAGGGGTGTACAAACCGAACCGGAAAACTGCATCAAACCGAAAAGTCAAACCAAATCGATTAAAAACCCCGACTAGGTTTGGTTTGATTTGGTTTGGTATTGAGTAAAAAAAACTTGAACCAAACCGACATATAAATGTATAATTTTTATATAGAAATTTTTAAAAAAAGATATCTAGAAATATTTGGGATTATCTTGCGGGATATAATATTTAATAGTATATGAGGTGCTCCATATTTATTAACCTTAAATAATGGGTTGTATGGTCATTTTGTCATTAAGTGTTACTGAAATGCGTCAAATCTCTTTTGTTCTTCCATATTATATCATATGTTAAGATCTATTAAATTGTTATATCTTTTTCGAATATGAAGTGATTATTATTATTTAGGTATCGTATCGATTTTTATGCTTAATTATTAAACCTTGAAAGTATACATCATCGAAACATTATTGTCAGACGACTAAAAAGAATAACTATTATGTGTTACGAAGAAAATTCTCTCATAAGAATATTTTAATAGATAATATGTTTGTCAATTTTTTATATTTTTACTAAACATATATTTACTTATCAAAAAATTAATAAAGTAAGATTGAAATAATATTTAAGTAACAAAAAAACCCGAATAATTCGAAAAATCCCACAAAATCGAATCAATCCAAACCGATATAGTTGGTTTGGTTTGGTTTTGATAAAAGCCGAACCAACCCGGTCCATGTACACCCCTTCTTACAGTGTCCTCTTCTTCAGATTAGTTATCTATTTGATAAAAAAAGTGGTCCTTAAGGAAATCCCTTTGGTCTTTTTAGTAAACTTTTCAGGATAGGGTTGGCCTTGTTCTTGGACATAGGAAGAAGAGAACAGAGCTGGAATTTGAATCATGCACTTAAGTGATACATAATGACATTATTATCATTTAGTGCAATTCTAATTCCTCTTAAATAAATATTTTTCCCCTCAATTTGAAATTAATGAAATTTCGTTCACTGTTACTCCCCGGATCAACAATAAGTGATTTTTTGGCCTTTTTTGTGGTTCAAAATAAGTGATTTTCCCATATTTCAAGAATGAATTAACTATTTTTTTCCTACATTATCCTTGGAGTAAATTATGTTGGAGTATGTTTAGGAGTGTTTATGTGAAGAGATAGTAAAGTTAATATGGTCAATTTTATTCCTAATTAATATTAAAATATAGATTTCTTAATCATCGTGAAAACAATCAAAAATCACTTATTGTGGACCGGATGGAGTATCTACCTAGTGCAATTTACGGCCAGACAATCCATGAGCTTTTTATTAAATAAAGTCACTTTTAGCTTCTCTCATTATAGTGTGTTTTTCTTCAAGTAGCACACATGCGTATTAGAGAAAAGTTTGATTTGGACGCAATTGGCTATTAATATTGTTGTCTATTTCTGTAATTCGCTTCCTCATTCAAAAGTAGCCCAAAGCTAGAACTATGATACATTTGGACTAGCTTCTTTACATCGTTGGCAACTTGATGTTTAGTCAAATTTCTTCAATACAATTATGCAGAACCGTACACACTTAACAATTTCTCAATTAAAGAAAACAAGACATGATCGTAGGTATACTCATTAAGCCAATTGATCATTTTTCTTTGTTGTCAATTAAAGAAAACAAGCATCGTGGTCCAGCCATTGCTTTTAGAGAATACCACTTATTATGGTAGAGGATAACAAAATAAGGGATAGGATCCCCTCCAGTAATGTAATGTCCAGTAATTCTCAATGGACTATTTTGATGATGCATGTGTATAGTTGAAGTTTCAATGACTTGGATCCATTTCATTCTAATACTTTCTTTATTATATTTTCTATTTGCTTATTAGATCAATAATGCTTAAAAATATACAACAACAACAATAACAAACCCAGTTTGATCCCAACAAGTGGGGTCTGGGGAGGATAGTATGTACGCAGACCTTACCCTAACCTAATGCAGGTAGAGAGGTTGTTTCCAATAAACCCTCGGCCCAGAAAGGGCAAGAAGAAGAAGAGGAAAGCAAGGGAGGAAGAAAGATGGAAGATAAAAGAAAAAGGGAGAGATAAAAGATAAGTGGTACCAAATAATAGCAACAGGAATACAATACCTGAAGCGAACCAAACCACATAACATAATAAAAATCTAAGAATATGAAGGGACATGCACACTGCTAAGCAAACAGTAAAGTTGCAACATTTTTTATTTGTATATTTTCTTTCTCTAATAAAACCAAAATGTTCATAGTAGAGTTTACTGACATTGTTATTGTTCTTGTTCCTTCAGTTTCTCAGTATTTTTACAATTTTACCCCATTGTTTTCCGTGGTTTTGATTTACATGACCAACAGTATTTATTTCCAAGTATAAATTGGGCGGCAAATTTTTCATATAAATAGCAAGCAATTATATCAACTTTTCAAACAAAAAAAAAACATCTTGTTTAATTCACAACTACTTAAGATGAAACTTATAATTGCAAAAATGAATAAGGGAATTTATTTCAGCCTAATTCATTTTGTTACTTTCTTGATCCTATTTTCCTTGGTTTGTACTAACACATTAGTGGAGGCTCAAAAATGCAAGCCAAGTGGAAAAATTAAGGGTAAAAAGCCCCCAAAAGATCAATGTAGCCCTGGTGATGAATGTTGTAAAGAAGGGAAATTTTACACTACTTACAAATGTTCACCTCCGGTTACAGGTCACACGAAGGCAATTCTTACTATCAACGACTTTGACAAAGGTGGTGATGGTGGCGGTCCATCTGAATGTAGTGGCACGTATTACCATAACTCTATTCCGGTGGTGGCTCTGTCCACCGGATGGTACAGTAAAGGGAGACGATGTTTTGAAAACATTACCATACATGCAAATGGGAAGAGTGTGAAAGCCATGGTTGTCGATGAATGTGATTCGGGTGAAGGGTGTGATGCACCACATGCATACCAACCTCCTTGCCCGAATAACATTGTGGATGCTTCTGAAGCAGTGTGGAAAGCTTTAGGTGTTCCTAAGAAAGACTGGGGTTGGCTTGACATCTCCTGGTCTGAATAATGAATCTTGATATAGAATCTTCTGGCTTTTAATAAATACCCTGCATATCCCGAGGAACTGACAACAAGTTTCAGTTCCCTTCGTCAAATAATACTCTTTCTTTCTTTAGTTTTCTTTTCCATTGAAGTTATCTCCACTTGCGAGATTACAATGAGTTTGTTATTATTGTTATTGTTATTTTCCATTCAAGTTATCATATGGTGAAGAAGTTTCTACTTGCTTCTCTGTTAAAATATAATGATCAAGTATATACATGCATCTGTTTGAACTGAATTTGACAAAATTAATCTGCTTATACTGTCATCTTTACTTGAGCGGAGGGTCTATCGAAAACAACCTTTCTACCTCACAAGGTACGGTAAGATCTACGTACACTCTGCCCTCCCGAATCACAAATCAGATTTCTTGCTTTTCAAGATGTGCCACATGTATATAATATATACCCTGGCAAAACAACTTGCAGCGTTTGCAAGCAAGATAAAACAATGGTTCTACGAAAATAAGCCATAATATCATAATATCTAAACTTTTGGCTTGTTAATTTGTCCACAGAAAAAAAATTCTAAGTTACTACATAAAAGAGATCAAAAGCAAATCCACCACTTTTCCTCAGACAATTTGGTCCATCACACGTAACATTCTACAAATGCAATAATGCATTTTACTACTTTCAACAGCCATCATCCCTACCATTACTACTTTAACAGTACCTAAAAAGAAGAATTTTGTTATAAAGTTAGCATAATCCATCATCCTACTAATAGACAGACGGTTAAATCGCTGAGCTGATCTCCTGGTGCGCGTTTCATTTACAAAAGCACATATATACAAAACTGTCATGTGTGCATTGCAGCGAATAGTGTCATCCACGCGTCAGGTCAATCCCAGTCTGGGAATTTCTTACATCTGGCCGGGAACTTGGAGGCCAAACACCCGTGCCAGAACCTGAAGTAGGATCTTGACTCGGAGTAGCACCAATTGGTGTAGATGACTTTTCAGCAGACTCTTTCTCCTCTTTAATAGGAGTACTACTTTCTGGTTTGCTCTTTACCTTTGGATCATATACAAAGCTGCATACAACTACCTGCAGCAAATTTGCTTGTTACACAGAAAACAGAAAACAAATACTCCCAAAAGAGTAAGGAGAGATAAACAAGCATTCAGCAAATACCTGAACAGAGCTGGCCGCTATGAGCCTACCCCCTATAGCACCTCCAATTACATGCCCATCAGAACTACAAACGGAGATACTTATACCACCGGTGCGATTACGTGGGCCACCAGTTTCAGCAACCAAGTATGAACCAGACAAGCATAGTATCTCAAAACGGCCCTGCACAGAATAGGAAACATGTAGTTATCAGGATACATGATTTGTCACAAGCAGAATCACATGCACATATGGCAAAAGGAAAGGAGAGAACGGAAATTTAGAGGGGAGAAAACGGAAATTTTAGAGGGGAGAGAACACAAAGGGAACAAAGTTGTTATAGACATTTTCCGATCAGTGTCAACATCCCTTCACATGATTTATAAGTGTGCGCATGTGCATGAAAAAAGATGGTCCAAGTATTGAGACAAAGATTGAGCAACAAGGAAGACACATATCAAAAGTGTTTCAACTGGAAAAAAAAACGTGCTACTTTCTCAATTTTGCATCGACTTTATCACTATCAACAATTCAGATGGACTTGTTAAATCGCATGTATCACATTGCCAACATGTAATGAAAAGAGAGGATTGGAGAGACAAATAAACCTAAATTAGAAATTGCTACAATTATGTGCATGTTAGTTAGTAAAACCAAACTATTTATTGGAGGTTTCTGGTTCCCCAGTCATGGGTACTCCATTAAATTACCAGGATTTATTGTATATGATCTTTATATTGACTAATATGTCGAAGTACTTGATAAACTTTTTATATTTGCAGCATCAAATGTTTATATCTCATGTTCATATCCACTCTGTTTGTAGTTTTCCATTAAAGAAATGACAATGACTTCTCCAATCTAAATATCATTGCTTTCTTGTTTATGTAAGTATAATTTTAACCATTGAGGAAGAATAATAAGCAATCTTGAGAGGACGATATGGCTCTTTTTGATAACCGATGATGATATGGCTCTTATACTATCATTTTAAGTAGAAATTGATGCAGCACTGAATTTTATTGTAATTTTCTTAGGCATAATACTGAATCCCTATGGCTATGGATGGATCATTAAAGTATTAAACAAGAAAGTTGATGGATAAGTGAAGAATCAAAACAGTATCATGGACCAATAAAGAGTTCTGGCACTTAGATACAGGAGAAATCTTAATCCACTCAATATACTAGATTGAAAAAAGGGGAAATTTTCCACACATTCTAACGATAAACAAAGAGCAAAAATAAAAGCTTCAGATACTTTCTTGAATTATTAAAGAAAGTATAATTCAGGTCTTTAACATTGAAGTCAAATTAAGCATGAAACATGAAGGTTACATGACCAGGTAACATGTTATAAATGGCCTATAGTTTGGATTTGCATATGTAAGCTAAATTGTTAAATATAAGATGTTATATAACAAGTAACAATCACAACAAACAACATCAGCAATAAAGAAAAATGATATATTTTTTTCAGTTTCACAGGCGATAAGTTTGATACACAAGACATGTAAAACAATTATAAGTGTTGCCTGAGTTTGTTTTATTGAAATGTTATAGAACCTATGTTGTTCTAAACAGGTGAAAGGTCCTCGGAACCAAATCAAGAATCGATCACGAACAATTCAATACTTTATTTTTATTTTAGACAAGCTTATGAAAATGTCTCTAACAATCGCATATTGTCAGCCACATTCAGTATTCCAAAAGAACCACCTGCTAATAACTTTTAAAATCACAGTGTATTATCTGATCTCTCCTAATCGCAAAATCAGTTGATATTAACTGTTACAGTATTTTCAAAAGAAGCTTGAAGCTCCTAAGTAACAGCCACGAAGCAAAGAGCCCCACCTGCCTCCCTTTTTCTCTTTCTTTCCCCTAAATAAAGGAAGTGGCAATGCTCCAAATAAAGCTGCTCTTAAGATGGGAGAATAAAGAGGCAATAATATAAAAGCTAACCGTCAGACAAACCATGCATCAGCATCTCAGCAGTTATTAACTAGAACATATGCAGCACCTTCCACAGTCAGTGGCGGATTCAGGAATCCAAGTTAATGGTGCTCTTGTATGTTACCGTTAGGGGTATTCATGGTTTGGTTTGGGTCGGTTTTTTCCTAAAAAGAAACCAAACCAAGTAAGTCAAAATTTCAAATATTGGAACCCAACCAAACCAATTGAGTCGGTTTTTTATCGATTCGGTTTATGTCGGTTTTTTGGTTATTTATTGATTTTTTTTCTTAAATATGAGACATAAACTACCAAAAGCATATTCCGGCAACTACATTTTCAACGTAACACTATCAAATCAATTGATCTTTGAGAAATCTATCATTTTCAAGATATAATGATGATTGAATCAAATGGTGATGAAGAATTTAAGTATTCAATTAAAAATCGATTATTTTTAACATGAAATAAATTCTTGTACTTAGATGTGTTTTAGATAGCGTGCGGCGACAAATAGCGACGAGGGCCCGCTTCACTGAGGCGAGAGGCGTGCTGCGAAGCGCTCACCTTTTTGATGTGAAGCGACAAGTTATACAAAAACATTAAATATTATATACATATAACTAAAAACTCAATAACAATAATATATTAATAAATTATCAATTCAAAAATTAAAGACTCAATAGATAGTCATAGTAGATTTACAATGACGCCATTTCAATGTTGTTTTGTAGAAAAAAAATTATCAAGTCAATATGCAATTAATTCTACTCTATAAGACTATAAGTCTATAATTGAAAAAATAGAGCAACAAATCAGAGCAAACAAAAAAAAAGGGCTACTGCCTCTGGTCGAATGTCGAAAAACAGAACCCAAAAAAAATAAAAAGCTCTGGTCGAGAAATAGAGCAAAGAAAGAAAGAAGAAGAAAAACAGAGCAAAGAAAGAAAGACAAGAAGAAGAAAGAGTTGACCACTGAAGAAAGAAGAAAGAAGAAGAAAAAGAAAAACGAAGAAGACATCAATGGTGAAGACTAAGTCGACCAGAGCTGAAATAGAAGAAGAAGAAAGGAGAAGAAGAAGAAGAAGAAAAGAAAGGAAAGTAATATACATGATGATGGCTGATGATGGAAGAAGAAGAAGATGAAGCCCAAGCCCTAATTTTGTCGTTGAAGGAGAAGAAGTGAAACCCAAGCCCTAATTTTGTGCTTTAGTATAAATCGTGGCCTTTTCTTCCGTTATTTTCAAATAGCGATGCCTCACAATGCCTCTCGCTACACAGGCAGAGGCGCTCGCTTTTCTGATTCGCAACGCCACAGACCCAAAAAGGCGCAGTTGCCTCACCTCGTGTCGCTACATACTATTAGCGACATAGCGCTCGCTATTTACAACACTAGTACTTAGTAAAATAAAACTACCAATCAAACTATAATGTAAAGCCAAAGAATTAGATTATTATAATAGCAAAGAACTAGACCAAGAATTAGAATTATCTTAATTATAAGCTTGGTCCAAACCTAACGATAACTTCTTCAAACACGGGCTTGGGTATAGTAGAGTGGAATAACATATGGACTGGCCTGTTTATATATGGCTTCTAACATTTTGACCACTTGTGAATTCTACAAAGCTCAAGTATTTAATGGTAAGTACGTAATGCCAAAAACACTGAAGTCCAATTTACAGAAAATAGGATCATATTTTAATCAAAAGGTCATTTGAACAAAGTGATATAGTAATTACAGATTGCTATTTTAAATTAGAGATGCACATTAACGCAAATACAATCGTACTTGCATGGAGAAATATTAGTCATCGTATACAAGACATGATTAAAGCATTTAAAACTAATAAAGTATCAATCATCATTAACTAAACCAAAGAAGGGAATGAATGAAAAGTAACAAAATAATATATACTGAAAAGATATTAGCAGCATTCGACAAAATAAGTACTTTATGCATTTATTCTGCATTTGAGATTGAAAGCATTAGTAGAAGTCCATTGTTCA